TAGTGTTTTCATTTGAATCTAAAGGCCTTAATGATATAAACTAACTTGATTAACTTCTTTCTCTTTTTCTGCATTAACTCACATTTAAAATATCTCTTTTGTGTCAACTTTTTTATTGAGGAAAAACCATTATTGATTTGGCTAATTTAAACAACATTTTTTTTTAAATAAAAAATGGCATCTTGATAAATAAAGGATCTTCTAATGTTTCCTAAATGACAGAGTTTTATTAGCATTGTGTTTAGTCTATTTTACCCTCATGTTGTGAAAGAAAAATCATGCACATTTGTTTCTTCCTGTTTTTTCTCAGCTATTGACCTAAAAAATGGTTCTGGAAAAGTGTATCAAGGCCCTGCAAAAGATTCTGCTGATACAACCATCATAATTTCAGATGAAGATTTCATGCAAGTGGCTCTGGGCAAGCTTGATCCTCAGAAGGTAATGTTCTCAAAATGTTCATTTATTCATTGTTATTGCTTCATATTTGATCATTGCACATTTTGAACTGACTCTCAAATTCTGATTTATAAGACAGTTTCCTTATAATGCTGAAGAAGACACAAACTAAACCAAACCTATTGGTGTCAAGTTAATTCCTATGGGATCCATAGTGACCCTGTAGGACAAAGTAGAACTGCCCTATAGGGTTTCTAGGGCTGATGGATTCCAACCACTGGCCTTTTAGTTAGCAGCTGAGCACTTAGCTACTGCACCACCAGGGCACCTTGAAGAAGACAAAGTTGGTAATGATATTCTGGTTGTCAGATAGTATACATATTTTTAATGGCGTTTCACCTAATGGTGAAAACTAAATTTTTGGTTATAATATTTATTCAGCATACAGTAAAACAATGTAAAATCCACACATAGACTTTTTAATGTATTATATCAATAGTTCAAAGGTAAAAAGCCCTATAATACTTGCAAGAACAAATAAAACCAAATCTATTTGCCATCAAGTTGATTTTGACTCACAGCAACCCCATACGTTACAGTAGAATTGCTCTTGGCTGAAATCTTTACAGAAGCAATTTTCCAGGCCCTTCTTCTATGGAACTACTGGGTAGTTTTGAAAAGCCAACCTTTAGGGTAGTATTGTTGTTGTTATGTGCCGTTGAGTTGGAACCAACTCATAGTGACCCCTCCTTGGGTTTCTAAGGTGGTATCACTATGGAAGTAGATTGCCCAACCTTCCTTCTGAGGAGTGGCTGCTGGGTTTGAACC